ACTCAGGTTAGCCAATCGATATATCTCCTTAGTCATTTCTAATTTCCCAACTTCTACATGCTTTAAGCTGCCCATGGATTTGCGACTCAACACATCAGCTACCACATTCGCTTTGCCCGGATGGTACAAAATATCCACATCATAGTCCTTCAGCAATTCAAGTCATCTCCTTTGTCTCAAGTTCAAGTCTTTCTGCTTAAATATATACTGTAAACTTTTATGATCTGTATAGATATCCACATGAACACCATAAAGATAATGACACTATATTTTCAAGGCAAATATAACGGCTGCTAACTCAATATCGTGAGTCGGATAATTGTATTCGTGCTTCCGCAACTGCCTCGAAGCATATGCAATAACTTTTCCATGTTGCATTAGAACACATCCCAATCCCACCCTGGATGCATCACAATATACCACATAACCTTCAGATCCCTTAAGAAGTGCTAGAACAGGTGCCGATGTTAAGCGTTTCTTCAACTCATGAAAGCTCCTTTCACATGCATCAGACCATTGGAACTTAACGGCTTTGTGTGTCAATTTTGTCATGGGAGCAACAATAAAAGAGAAGTTCTCAACAAATCTCCAATAATAACCAGCTAAGCCCAAGAAATTATGAACTTCCGTAGGAGTTGTGGGTCTAGGCCAATTTTGTAATGCTTCAATTTCTGACCATCTACCTTAATACCTTCATCGGAAACGATATGCCTAAGGAAAGCCACTGAATTCAACCAAAATTCACATTTGGAGAATTTAGCATATAATTTCTGATTTTTCAAAGTCTACAACACCACACGCAAATGATCCTCATGTTCTGCTTCTGATCGAGAATATACCAGAATATCATCAATGAAAACAATTACAAATATAGCTAGAAATGGCTTGAAAACCCGATTTATTAAATCCATGAAAGCTGTTGGCGCATTAGTAAGACCAAAAGACATCACAAGGAATTCATAATGGCCATATCTAGTCCGGAAAACCGTTTTCGGAATATCTCTCTCCTTAACTCGCAACTGGTGATAGCCGGATCGAAGGTCAATCTTTGAGAAATATTTGTCATCTTGCAGCTGATCAAACAAATCATCAATTCTGGGTAAGGGGTACTTGTTCTTGATAGTCACTTTGTTGAGCTGACGATAGTCAATACACATTCTTAACGAACCATCCTTCTTACGAACAAACAACACTGGTGCACCCCGGGGAGATGTGTTGAGCCTGATAAAGCCCTTATTCAGAAGATCCTTCAACTGGGCTTTCAATTCTTTTAACTCAGCAGGAGCCATTCTGTATTGAGGAATAGATATTGGCTGAGTATCTAGAAGCATATCAATAGCAAAGTTGATTTCTCTTTCTGGAGGAAGACCAGGAAGTTCATCAGGAAATACATCGGGAAATTCATTCACGACGAGAACCAATTGAAGAGTTGGAGATTTCACCTCCATATCATGCACTCGTACCAAATGATAGATGTACCCTTTCAAAATCATCCTTCGAGCTTTAAGGTAAGAAATAAACTTTCCCTTAGGCGCTGCAACATCACCTTTCCATTCAATAATAGTCTTACTTGGAAAATTAAAACGAACAATCTTTGTCCAGCAATCTATATTGGCATAACAAGAAGACAACCAATCCATACACATAATGATATCAAAATCAACCATTTCTAGCTCATGCAAATCAGCTAACATATGGCGGTCATGAATCTTCACGTCACAACTTCGATATACCCATCTAACTACAACAGACTCACCCATTGGCGTAGATACCTCAAATGACTTATGCAACAATTCAGGCTCTATATCCCATTTACTAGCAACAAAGAGGGAGATATACGACAATGTAGAACCAGGATCTATCAAGGCATACATATCGATAGAAAAGACGGATAGTATACCTGTAACCACGTCTAGAGATGACCTAAATCCTGACGACTCGATAAAGCATATATGCGATTCTGCTGACCTCTTGAACCAGAAGCGCCAAATCTTCCCCTACCCCTGCCAGCTGATGTCTGTATACTCTGCCTAGGACGACGTACGGAAGAAGAAGAAGCCCATGCAGATGCCGCCGGCTGAGCCATACCCCCTCCACCTGTTATCGGACAATGCCTCATAATATGACCTTGCTGTCCACATGCATAACATGCATCAAAACCCTGGCGACATGGTCCAAAATGATTTCGGTCACATCGATCACATCTAGGAAACTGAGGCCTCATCTGACTGAACTCGCCTCTAAACTGTGGACCTGGGGTACGTGAACTCTGACCTGGACCAGAATAAGTGGTCTGATCATGTCGCTGTCCCTAAAACTGTAGCGGCGCACTGGCTACCGGATAAGATTGACACCGGGGAAACCGTGGCCTAAATCCACCTCGAAACTCTCATGTGTTACCTGCGAACCACACCCTCTTCTGCTGACCTCTATCATGCTCTCGATTGGCTCGTTGTTGCCTCTTGCGATCCTCTAGACCCTGTACATATGCTTGAATACAGGCAATATCCATTCCTTGGTTTAGAGAATCTGTAGTGCACTCATTTATCAAATGTGCCTCCAAACCACTAACAAACTGGTGTACCCGATCACGCATATCAGCAACAATCGTAGGAGCATACCTAGCCAAAGAGTTTAACTGCATGCTATATTCCCGAACGCTCATATTACCCTGTTCTAAGTGTAAGAACCTATCTCGTCGGGCTCTTTGAAGCTCGATTGGCAAATATTGCTGTAAAAATGCCTCAAAGAACTCCTTCCAAGTCACTGGTGGCACATTAGGCCCCCAAGTCTGCTTCCAAGTCTCAAACCATGTCACAGCAACATCACGTAGTCTATAAGAAGTAAACTCCACTGACTCAATATCCGTGGCATGTATAATTTGTAAGGTCCATTGCATAAGATCCAGAAAATCCTGTGGGTCAGCATTAGGATCAACCCCTGTAAATACTAGAGGATCCAAGTTGATAAAGTCTCGAACTCTCGCACTCACGGACCTATCAGCAATACCGAGGGTCTGGTGTTGGGCCTGGGAGGCCACTATTCGAGTCAGCAATTATACAGCACTCCGCATGTCTAGGTCCTGATCAGGAACAACTGGGAGAGGGACTGGAGGTATGTTAGCTCCTCTACGCCCTTCCGGGGGTGGTGGGGGTACTGCCCCGGAAGCCTGAGAATCAGCCTCATTCTGTGGCTCATGTTGATCTACATTAGTAGGTGGCACCTGACTTGTGCCCTCTCCCGCCTCCTCACCCAACCTTTGAATAAATTTCATAGCCACTTGCCGTCTCGTAGTATTAGGCATCACTGAGAGGTAAACAAAAAGAGAATTAGGAATGAACACTTATGATTAGGCTCTATTGCACGATCTAGATCAAGAAGAAAGTAATAATCCTAAATGCCTAATAGCCTCATGTTTATAAGTGTGGTGCACAACACACCATAAACAAGACTCTACTAGACACGGCTTGCAGACTCCCTAGGATTGACCTACTATGATACCAAGTTTGTCACACCCCAACCTTGGGAGGTGTGGCTGGAACCCGATGCTCGAAGGCTTGAGCGAACCAACCATGAGATATGATCTGAAATATAATAACTTATAGGTAGAAGAGCCCAACACGACATATATATATACATACATATTATATATATATATAACCTAGGCCAACAAGGCTGCAACAACAGTATAACAGCTATCCAGGAGGCCGATAGGGCCATATGAAATATATATATATATATATATACAATGACCGCTAGTCTGCAAGCCTCTAAGAGTGTAAGACAATCTCAACATGGCAGGACAAAGCCCCCGACATGCCCAAAACCACACATATATATCTGTAATAGTACTTATGGACTCAAAGTCAGCAACTCCGAAGAAGTGGAGTGCGAAACCCAACGCTGATCCTGGGGGTCCTACTGAGGAGGCACGCCGCTCTGTCTATCCGAACCTGTGGGCATGAACACATCGCATAAAAATGCATCAGTACGAAATATGTACTGAATATGTAGGGCGATAGGAAACTAAAATTCAACATGGATATAAATGTATGCTCGTGAAATCGTCGTTCACTATTACTACTTATAATATATCATATTATATAATGATAAATCCCTCTGTGGGGCTATAATATCCATATCATACCCGGCCAAAATAAAGTCTCGGTAGAATCGTACCCGGCCACGTGAAGCTCGGTAATCCCAACTGATCAGTGGTTACACAATNTTAAGCAATCTATGAGAAAGGATCAGGTCTAAGACTCTTTATCAGTTGAAGGTGAAATAACTCGAATCCGACGAGACAATTCGATAAACGTGTATTCGAATTCTAGTCATGTCGAAAAGTATAGCAAAAGCCCTACATACCTTGTCGATGGAGTTATATACTATTTCCGAGACCTCGAAAGCTTTAGGAATGATTTCCTACATAATACGAACCATTCAAAATCAAATTCAAGCTCATAGCTTATATAATTCTTCATTTAGACATTTATGCGAACAACTTGTGGCCATAAATTTGTAGACTCTTTTGTAGATTAATTTCTCCCCAACGCACCACCAAATTTTACTTTACTACATCTCCTCATCGACAGGATTCCATCCATGTCTTCATAGATCCAAACAACACAATAAAACCATATAGAACAGCCCCAACAATCAAGCCATATTAAGAGAGGTTTCTTAAAAAAATCAAGAATATTTCTATAGAGGTTTCAACCATTTCTTAGGAATTCTTATGGTAGAAGTTTACAAAGATCAAAGAGGAAGTTAAATCATACCTTATGTGACCAGAATTACTCAAAATTCGAAATTACTTCAAGGCGGAGTCTTGCTATGAAAAGTGAAACACCGAAGAATTCACGATTCCGAAGTTACCATGGTGTTATCCATTTTGAGGATGACTAAATTGTTGTTATCATTGGCTAGATGGATGGGAGGAGTTTGAGAGAAAATCCCCAGGTGTTAGGTTCTATTTTGGAGAGGATAAAACGTAGGGATTTCAGTTTTAAAGAATGACTTAAATAAAATTTTTTTAACTAAATCCGACTAAGCACACTGTTCCCGTAACAGTGTGTACCCCTGTACGAAAAGGTTAATATCTCTCTACTCCGAAGTTGTATTAATGAATGGTTTGTTGCATTGGAAACTAGACTCATAGAACATCGATTCGGTAGGTAGAACACACCATAACTCCCAGTATATTGAGATAAAAGCTCATCAACATTTTATCCAAATTCCAGTAAAATTTAAGCCCGTAACTTGCGGCGATCTTTGTCGAATTTTTAATCATAACTCAAATGACTTCCAATCTTAACGTATAACTATCGCATCATTTAAATATCTTATAGAAATTATCTTCCTATCGAATTAGCCCATTTACAGCATGATAACGCCGAATACATAAGGTGTAACATGGATTCTGGGTCATGAAGAAGTGCGGACCGCATCATTATTGTGCGACCGCAGAATTTAAAAGTGCGGATGCACTCAGAAATGTGTAGTTCGCAGAAGTCTCTCATGTCAAGCTCAAGTTCAAGAGTGCGTCCACACTAAAAAATATACGATCCATGGAATCTGAAGAAGTGCGGCCGCAACCCAGAATTGTGCGGCCGCAGAAGTCCATCCTGTCAAGCCAGCTTCAAAGTGCAGACCGCACACAGAATTATGCGGTCGCAAACCTCCGCAGGGGCAATTTTATCCGATAATTTCAGCTGTGTATAAATAGTCTTTTCTGTCAAAATTAGTTTAAGTTTGAACACCAGAAAATAGATTGCCATTTTTCCTTTACTGCTTTGGGTAACTTTGTAATAGTTTATCATTTTAACATTGGATTTACTTCCATTTATCATCTATTATGAGTTTAATCTTATTTTCTTCTTTAGTTTCTTCAATTTTCTCTATGAGTAGCTAATTTCTTAGTTAGTTTATGACCCAACCCTAGTGTGGGTACCTAATGCGTATTTAATATAGAGCTTGTTTGTGATTGGGTGAGTGATATTTAGCCTAGTTCTTACTTGGATTTAAGAATTAATGGTTGTAAATATTGAATCATGCCTAATTGACTTATCCTCTACTTGAGAAAGAGAGACTAAGTCTAGGAAAACTTGGCTAACAAGGAATTGGGGTGAACTCAAGAAATTGATGGCCCCAATTAAAGTCTTGAATCTAGAGATAGCAAGACCCGACTTGAGCATCTATCACTTGTTTTGTGAATTACCCATTTGGACTTGAGAAGGCCAGATTGGGCAAAACCACTCTAACTACCGGGAGGTATCGAGTGGATAATTTGTGTGTGATTGCTATATTATATCACGACCAATCAAATCTACCCTAAAGCCCACAATCTATTAGGTAACTACCTAGGTAGAAGCACGACCCTAGATCTTTTATAATCTTGAAAAACACCACCACCAAAAATATCGTTCTCTAGCTTTTCATTTAGAAACATTAGCATAAAAATCAGAAGTAGAAAGAAACAACCAAACCATTTTGGGCACATCATACACTTAGTCAAGATATATACCTAATCCAATATAAGCTCTCTGTGGAAGGTAATTATAATTGCATCGACCACTTCACAATCCCAATTAGTGGTGTGAATTTGGGCGATATCAATTTTTGGTGCCATTGTCGGGGAGCTAAAAACAAATTTAGCTATATATTTGGTTGTGTGTGTGATTTGTCTTCCTTTCCTTTCGAGTTACTAATCTTTTTGTGAAACAATTGTCAGTGATACTACGGCTCTCAACAACAATGATCTCTCGATTTGGTGTACATGAAATGAAAGTGAGGGCTGCTATTTATAGATAGCCTCACTACCCAAAGTAGCCAATCAGATTTGGGTTTTGCAATTGCATTGCAAATTGCCAACTTGCTTCAACAGTCCATATTCAACTTGTTGTCATTTTTCTTCTTCTTTTTCTTATTTATTTTTATTTAGATTGGTCCCACAAGGTAAACCCAGAGGATCAATATAAAATCACTCTCCGTTTTACGTACTCCATGGTTGTAATACAAAAAAGAACAACACGGGGCGAGGATTGGACATTTTTTATGAGAAAAGCCGGGAACTAGACACAGTTAAAGTCAGCCAAGTTGTCAAACCAAAAAAGTAACTCATGAAAAATACAAACAAGCATAAGAGAATTAGGAAAAGGTGAAAAACACATCACTTATAATAGTTAGACAAACAAAGAGGAATTGCAAAATGAACTATATATACTAGTACGTCAGGTGCATCTTGCTTCCATATGTAGCTAGTTTATGTGCTCCTAGCTGTCTGAACATATGCCTCTGTTGAGATATGTAATTATTCATTTAGTTAGCTTTATTCACTGTATTAGTTAGTTGTCTGATAGTTAGTTATATTTTTTTGCTTCTGCTTGTTAGTTAGTCGACTAGTCCAGTTGTGTCTAGCTGTCAGTGTGCATATATAGAGGAGTAGAGTGCGAGGAATTCATTTCATTCATTACTCCATTTTCTAGAAGTTATGAGTACCCCTCGTGTTCTTTTACTCCATTTTCTAGAAGCTATGAGTCCCCCTCATGTTCTTTCTCTTTTCCTCCATTAAAGTTTCGAGCTAAGATCAAGCTTCGTTTGCTAACTGCTTGTTTTCGATATGGTATCAGAGCCATGAGCCTTTTGTTTTCTCGCGTTCTATCAACATTCAATCATTGACTGTTCGATATCTATAACTAGGGTTCAATCAATTGTGAATTTCTTTTTAAAATCAGAGCTCACCTCGTTGCTCTTCTTCTGCGAAATTGTTGTAACAGTCTGTTCTGCTGTGATAGTTTTGGTTTTTGTTGTTGAATTATGCATTAGAATTATTTTTCTCTCCTTGAGAATTAATCTCTTGTACTGCTATCAATTCATTACGCTATTGAGTAATTTCTTGAAGTTATGGCTGGAGATCAAACTCCTTTAGTTGATTCAACCAGCGCAATATGCACAAATTATTATGGATTCGACCAATCCGCTATACATGCATCCTTCTGAGAATGCTGGATCTATGCTAGTTCCAATGGCCTTCAATGCATCTGGGTGCAGGTCTTGGAAGAGAGGATTATTAAGAGCACTATCTTTGAAGAACAAAACAAGATTCATAAATGGAAAATGCAAAAGGCCAGATCCAAATTGTCATACGTTCAGTCAATGGGAAAGACGTGATGATATAGACACTTCATGGATTTTAAATTCATTGTCGAAAAGACCTAGTGTTGCGGAAGCCAAATGTATATAGTGCGAATAAGTCACAACTACTATACCAAAAATTATGACAGCCACCAAATAATAAATAAGACAATAAAGCAACAATAAAAGGAACACCAGAATTTACGAGGTTCGACCAACTTTGCCTACTCCTCGGACACAACCAATATTTTATTCCACTCCAAAAATACAAGTGAAATAATACTAAAGAGAGAAGATACAAATGCCTTAAACAGATGAGAAGGCAAATGAGAGGTGTGTTTAAATCCTAAACATTAGGCCTTCTTTTATAGGGGAAAAAATTCCCCCAACTCTTCTCCCAACCGATGTGGGACTTTGGCATTTTTCCAAACTTCAACAAATCTCCACCTCGGCAAAATTCCACATCTTCAATTCTCTCTCAATAACAAATTTTGGTTGTGTCTTCATCTTCAATCTTCAGTGTTCAACAATGTTGATCAAATCCAAACAATGTTGAAACTTGACCGCAGTCACCACCTTTGTCAGCATATCAGCAGGATTCTCTGTAGTATGAATTTTCTTCACCGTGACTCCACCTTCTTCTATGATTTCTCGTAC